GAGGTGATTGCTGTAAACCTCGGGAAAAGCAATTTCTGGGTAATAACTGGGAGTAGGGCAGTTATTGAGAAATTAAGAAGCAGTGAGTAATGCGTGATAAGTAAATGGAGTCACTGAGTATTTGTTGTTTTTCTGAGATTCTGAAAAGAAAGACAAGGATAGTGGTCAAGGGATAACTGAGTCAAAAACAGATTTGCTTTTAACTTTGTTACTTTGGATTTTTCTGTGTGACCAGCTCTTATTTAAGAAAGGGAGAGAACACAGAATTCAAGTGCACTTCCCCTTTACATTGTAGAAAGTGAATCTGAAGTTGTACAAGACAGGGCTTGATGGAATGAGACCATGAAAGAAGCAGCATAGAGGGAAAGTAGTTAGGGTTTTAATAAAGTCTCAGGCAGAACAAAGCCTTTACATGTACTGATCGACTTACGACCTATGCAACTTACGACCATTTGACTTTACGACCACAATCACTAGCCACGACTGCTCCACGTCTGGCAGCGCAAACGTTGCCCAGCTGGGTGTATGACAGTGTGGACCAGCTTCCGGCAGCACTACCATCTCCGCGTGCACCATTTCAACTGTACATATAGCCTACTCAACTTACGACCAAATCGTGTTACGACCGGTCCACGATCCTGACCGTGGCCTTAAGTCGAGCACTAGCTGTATTTAGAAGTTGTAAAGAAGGGCCACTTTAAGTTTTTGTAATTTAAACTCTTTATTTTGTATTAAAGAATATGTTTTCACAACAATCCTTTTTTTAGGTCTCATCAGGTGATGCCAAAATGACTTTTGAATGGTGAGAAAAGACAGGGCCCTTAGCAAACCCTGAAGTGTATAGTAGCAACCAATTAGTGAGAGCCTACAGTAAGGACTGTGCTAGGTACATGACAGACATTTAAAAACAAAGGGGTTTCCAAGCTGTTTTCCCTGGAATCTTTTTGAAGTCCAGTGTTTAATCTGTAAAGTGAAGCCTAAATTATCACTAATCAAATATTTACTAATCTAAAAGTCATAGAATATGTTAGATATTGCTGTATATGTCAGATGATATAGTTTAAGGCTCAAAAATTCCAATTTTACCTTTAAAGCAAACTTTGAGATTAATTGCCACGGCCACACAATTAATAAGCACACAGTCTGACTCACATTCATTGTCTATCTTCTTTCCACAAGGCTACACCGTGAAGGTCAACAATTCTTTCACATAATTCCTTTGAGCACTAAATGAGTTTGAGGGATGTCTTTCCTAGAATTACCCTTATTCTCTCCTCGTTCTTTTCATATCGCTGCAGCATTAACAACTCTTTTTTATCCTTTTCCTACTGTGCCTACCTTTCTAAATGTGTGCTATTTCAACTCTCCGTTGTTAACTTTCTGTCTCACTCATGTCTTCCTTTCATTTGTTTTTTTCTGTCTTCTCTCCTGAATACTGAAATTCTTTTCTAATACAGGAATATTATGGCCTTGTGTTTGGCCCCAAGTCTCTCTAATTGTCCTAGAATTTTAGGAATTTTAGTAGTAGTATATCAGAAGGGTGCTTGCACTGTTGATTCTAAATATTTTTGAGCAAAACCAGACACAGGTTGGGGGCAAAAGAGAAACTTGAATTAAACAAAAGGCTTAGCAAACATTTTTTCAGAGTTAATCTGAATTATTTAAAATGGCTTCCTGGGGAAGTGGCATTTTGTCAACGTGTTTAAAAATACATATTCAAGAATGTTGCGGTGTATCGGGACTAATATAGTCTGTATCATGCAGCGTGGCAGCATTTAGTTGAACATTTCCATAATGTTCCCAGCACTTCTTTATTTCACTTGAGAAGTAGGGGGAAAAGTGTTTTAAAAATATTGATTGTTAGATTTAATTATACTCCAGACACATCTTAGTTGTTTGGATGGGATTGTGACATTGCATGTTGCAAAACCAATCACTTTATAAATTATCCTCATTTACATTTTATAGTTTTATGAATTTGATTACTAGTACAGAGAGTTCATTCCTTTAACAATAACAGATCTTTGGGTTTACACTCAAAGAAGTGAGATTTTTGTAACTATTCTTTTTTCTTAAAAAGTATTTTACAGCCTCTAAGATGTGAAATATGGGGCTTTCATTAGCTGCACTGAGATTTCCCTGTTACCACTCCAGCTGTTGACTGTTTACTGCGGGAGCTGGTGCTAGTGGTAGGCAGAGAAAAATGCTCATTTAGTTAGAGCTTTCCAGGTGAAGCGTTCTTTGAGGTTGATTGGAACATTTGCCTATAATGAGCAAAAGCTCTTGCATTATTCAAATCATGAAAAACTACAAGAACCTTCCCAAACTGTTCAGTGTTTTGTCAAATAAAATAAGTGCTAGTATTTAGAGGAAGATTCCATTATACTAATCAACTTAAAAATTCATTAACTAACACATTTTTTCTTTAAATGATAAATAGTAGGAAATCCTATATCTGTTTATAGATACATTTTAGCACATTTGTGAATATTTCTTTCATGACCGAGCTAAACTATTGTTTATAGTTGTAGTTATTATATAATGTAGCTTTCAAAGTCTCAACTGCATCTTAAATAATCATAAAACAGTTGTCTATATCCCATTGACCTCTAGGGACATATTCTGTGAATAGCATTATTTTCTTAATGTGAAGTGATGTGCTGCAGCGGCTAAAGCCCCAGCTCGAAGACAGACAAATCTGGGTTGGAATCTTTGAGCACTTAAGAGATAAGCAAATTTAGCAAGTTTCCTGACCTCTCCTAGTCTATTTTGTCACTTGTTATGCAGGTGCAATGATGATCCCAGTAAATGGATTGTTTGAGTCCTGTTAATTACCTGGATCATTAATTAATAACTTTACTCAGAAGTGGTACATATATGTAAACTGTGGTAGAATAAAACCGTGTGATCTATTTTCTTTTTTTTTCTCTTTCTAATTTTTCTAGCATTAAATATATATTTTTAATCACTTTATATATTTAAAAATAAAGTACATTTATAGAGGTAATATTTACTAAGGAATTACTCTGAAAGGCAGGCTAAAATAGTTAAAGAATTTATCAAGGGAAAGGATTATCTAGTCTGTGTCTATCCACTGCCTTCCCCTTCACCTCCCAACCGAAACCTCTGGAAACAGGTTTTACCATCCACTGGCACACACCTAGGATTTCTGCTTGCATAGCCAAGAAGTGCAAGAGCCATGTTGTGAGATTTTCAATTTGATCGTCTCACATGAGGGTACCAGTGTTTTCAGACTGGAAACAGCATGTTACTACACTTTGGCAATAATGCATTAAATACAGATGGGTTTGTTTTTAGCCAAATATGGATCATACAGCCAACAGCTGTTTAGATATTGCCAACGGTCTGTTTAGTACACAGAGAGACTGCGGGTTTCTTTTTTGCTCAAGAAAATCTAGTGATTCCACGTTAAATCTCCACAGTGGTGTCCAGTTGGCTGCAAAACAGGAGACACATCATCAGCACCCCGGCAAAAGCCTGCAATGATATCTTTTTTCTCCCAAATTATAACACCTATTTTATCATAATGAGTATCATTAGCATATTTTAAATATAAGTAATAATATAATCCCAGATCTTTCAGTAGTTAAAGAATTCCTTGTAGTCTCAGCAGTAATTCAATTAATGATGTTTGATATTTAATGTTTTCTTTAAAAGTATGAAGCACTGAGGAATATACAGAGCCCTAGAAACACAGGACTTCCCTGCTCCTGACCACATCTCCCTCAAGTGTGAGAAGCAAGGAACATATGAAATATAGTATTTCTCATCACCTAAGGTTTATTTTAATTACTATTAAAGACATCCAGATATAGAATTAAAAGAACATATGTATTATCTGAAAATTGAAAAAAAACAAAGCATTATTTTATTCCATCAAATTCATGACTGATTTAATAAAGAATTGTCACAATATAAACAAGCCAAACAAAATACAATTTTATATGTTCAAGGGCTTCCCTCCCCCACTCCCTTTTGTAAACATTGTTTTTGCACTTGAAGCCAGGGAAAACATTTATTTACACTCAGGATATTAGGGATACTGCCACCATGTGGTAGTAAGGAAACATGATCTCAAAAACTTCAATAGTTTTTTTTTTTTTTTAACTCCATAACCATACATTTCTATTTTTTAAGAAATGTAATTCTTATTATAAATTCTTATTACCAAAAGTAATGTGTTTGTCAATCAATAGGAGGAAAATAAGGCAAAATTAATATACGTAGAGTGTTTGGGCCGTGGTTGAGAACTGCAGCCCAAAAATCACTAATTCAAATTACCCTGAATATATGCTCCAATTAGCAGCAATTACAAGTGGGTTTTTAAAGAGGAAAAAAAAAAAAAGAAGCTAGGGGATAGTTTCTAAGCTATTTACCAAAAATGTATATTGTTTCATTGAAATAACATCAACTATTGATTGGCTATACATGGCTTCTTATATTATAAATTCCAGGAAAATGAAGATAATGGTTTAGGGTCACGTTACATAAGTTGTGGTAACATTTGGAGATATTTATCAGCTAGTCTGGAAACTACATGAAAGAAAGTAAAAACAAAATGTCTTTAAACAGTTACCCGGGACATGGTTGCAAAGGATGTGACTGAATCCCCAAGCTCTTGCTTCTCTGGGCTTGTTACATTTTGCAGACCTCAGGTTCTTCAGACTGCTCCAAGCTATTTTTCTTTCTCACATCTTAAATCAGTTTTAAATCATAAAGGATAAATAACTCATAATGCATGCAGAGATGATCCAGATTTTGTGGGTCCTGAGATTTAGAAAACTGGGGGGATGTCAGCCAGGCATGGTGGCTCACACCTGTAATCCCAGCACTTTGGGAGGCTGAGGCAGGTGGACCACGAGGTCAAGAGATCGAGACCATTTTGGCTAACATAGTGAAACCCCATCTCTACTAAAATACAAAAATTAAATGGATGTGGTGACATGTGCCCGTAGTCCCAGCTACTCAGGAGGCTGAGGCAGGAGAATTGCTTGAAGCCGGGAGGCGGAGGTTGCATTGAGCCAATATTACACCATTGCACTCCAGCTTGGTGCCTGGCAAAAGAGCGAGAGACTGTGTCGAAATAAATAAATAAATAAATAAATAAATAAAATAGCGGGACTGTGTACTTTTGAGAAATGTCTGTTTAAATCCTTTGCCCTTTTTTGATTGGATTATTAAATTTGTTCTTATTTGGCCATAAAAAAGAATGAGATCCAGTTTTGCAACAGCATGGAAGAGGCTGAAGATCATTATGTTAAGTGAAATAAGCCAGGCACAGAAAGACAAACATCGCATGTTCTCACTTATTTGTGGAATCTAAAAGTTCAATCAGTTGAACTTATTGACAAAGAGACTTGGATGGTTACCAGAAGCTGGGAAGTGTAGTGTGCAATTTGGGGGAGGTGGGGATGGTTAACATGTGCAAAAAATTTAGAAAGAATGAATAAGACCTATTTCATACTATAATATGGTGACTATAGTCAATGATAAAAATATGTTTTAAAGTAAAGAATGTAATTGGATTGTTTGTAACTCAAGATAAGTGCTTGAGGGGATGGATATGTCATTCTCCATGGTGTGCTTATTTCATATTGCATATCTGTATCCCAACATCTCATGTATACTGTAAATATATACATGTACTGTGTATCCACAAAAATTTTTTTAAATAATTTTTATAAAATTTTTAAAAAGAACAAAATTGGGAAGGCTCTTGAGAATACAAAATTTAATATACAAAATTATTTTAAAAGGAAGTCATTATTTGGAATTAGAAATCAAATAACCATCAATCCCTTCAGGCTTGGAGATTCTTGTCCCTTATTTCTGAAATTTTTTAGACATTTCCCCAAAAAAACTCATTGAGAAATACTTCCTCTTTGCAACTTGGACTCCCCGCTCCTCCTCACTTACTTGATAACACAATACAACACCCAGCACTCACTGGGATCTGTGCTAGTCTGTTCTCATGCTGCTAGTAAAGGCATACCAGAAACTAGGAGATTTGTAAAGAAAAGTTTAATTGGCTCACAGTTCCACATGGCTGGGGGTTGTTGCGGGGGGAGCTCACAATCATGATGAAAGGCAAAAGAGGAGCAAAATCATATCTTACGTGGTGGCAGGCAAGAGGGTGTGTGTGGAGGAACTCCCCTTCATAAAACCATCAGATCTCTTGAGACTTACTCACTTTAAGGAGAATAGCATGGGGAAAAAATCGCCTCCATGATTCAGTTACCTCCCACTAGGTCCCTCCCCAACACACATGGGTATTATTTCAATCTCTTCAAGTTGAGATTTGGGTGGGGACATAGCACCAAACCGTATCAGGGTCTGTGCAAAGGGAGAGCTTGGAAGCTTAAGTACTATTAGCTTTATGACAAATTCATCAAAAGGTAAATTTTGACATTTCTTAGCATTTGTTTGCAGCTGTGAGGCTGTCCATATTCCTTCTCTACTCCAAAATACTCTCATAACTAGTTAATCCATAAGCATCGCTGTAAATTTTTACAGTAATTCCATATTCTCAAAATGTTAAACATCCCTGGTAATTATTCCTTTGTTTCTAGTCGCTGGCCATTTCAGTATCTCTTACATGGCAGCCCCCTCAAAGATTTCTTCCCTTTGCTCTCTAGCCAGGAAGGACAGCTTCTCTCTTCAAACCAATAGATCATCACTAAACTGCCTAGCTCTTAGCTGCAGGGCTAAGGAAATCTGAAAAGACATTGATTAGGGAGGAAAAGCCATTGTAAAGGAGGGAGCAAGAGGGAGAAAGCAAAGCTCAGAACTTTCTGGAAAACCTAAGTTTACATCTATCTTATTAGTGGTATTTTTCTTCAGATGTTGAAAATCTTAAAGACAAAATCTTTTTTTGGTTGAACAATTTCTTAGGTAAACATAGCAAATGTTCTCAGTTCGTGTGTTTTCGGCACACTAGAGTAGACACTTAAAATTTCTCTATGGAGTCCCAGTGCAGTGACTGAAGACTGTAATCCCAGCATTTTGGGAGGCCTAGGCAGGCAGATCACGAGGTCAGGAGTTCAATACCAGCCTGACCAACATGGTAAAACCCCATCTCTACTAAAGATACAAAGAATTAGCCAGCCATGGTGGCACGCACCTGTAATCCCAGCTCCTTGGAAGGCTGAGGCAGGAGAATCATCTGAACTTGGGAGGTAGAGGTTACAGTGAGCTGAGATGGCACCATTGCACTCCAGCCTGGATGACAGGGCTGGACTCCTTCTCAAACAAACAGAATGTCTCCATGTAAGAAAACCTGGAAATAAATTAGCTTCTAATCATGGAATTTTGAAATCATCAGTTTTGTTATTAGGCCTTTTCTCCCTCCCACTCTTCCTGTATCTTTTTTCTGCCCCAGCACATCCCTGCTTTACATACTGTCTTAGGATCCCTCCTAAGATATGTGTAAACAAAACACATGAATTTGGACTAGGAGTTTATTCTTTCAGTGTCCCATGGTAAACAGAAAGGAGATGAGGGGAAAAAAGCGCAAACCAAAAAACGTATTGTTCTTCTTTTGACTGCAGTGAACACACAGATTTCTAGAAGACACAGGGAGTGGCAAAAGTCGGCACACAAAGACCTAACAAACTGTTTTTGATTTACAACTGATACTAAGTATTTGAGTTTGTAAACAGGAATTCATGAAGAAATTAATAAATTTCCAAACCTTTTTTTAAAATTTAAAGGCAAGGTTAGCAAAGGCAATTTGCATTTAAATCAACACTTACTTGTCACATGTACTTTTCCCAACTCGAATAACCTGTGACATGAAAAAGATGAAAGGCCTGCGATGTGTATAATCATCTTTAAAAGGTAATCGGCCGACACTTGCAATAAATATTTATTAAGGAAAGAAATGTCCTTTTCTCTTTCTGCCACTGTGTTTCTGCTTCATCTCTGTTGTGTTCTCACCTCCTCATTAACTATGACTTCTCTTTTTATGAGAGGGTTCAGACCACATCCTGATGGCATAGAGAAGATGAAGGAAGCTTGAAGTCTTGTTTTGTGTGTGTGTGTGTGTGTGTGTGTGTGTGTGTGTGTGTGTGTGTGTTTTAACCCAATACACTGCTTTTTGAAGCTGTAGAAAAAGAGTCTGGGACAGGGCTGGATGCCTGAAAATTTCGAAAGGAAAGAAGAGCAGCAATTAGAAGATGAGCTCACTTCAGATTGTCTTTGCCGCTCTTGACATCCTACCAATTTTTATTTATTGACAGGATCTGGCTGTCTCCCAGGCTGCAGTGCAGTGGTGGGATCTTGGCTCACTGTAGCTTCTGCCTCCCAGGTTCAAACGATTCTCATGCCTCAGCCTCCCAAGAAGCTGGGATTACAGGCATGCACTACCAGACCTCGTGAATTTTTTGTGTGTTTTCAGGAAAGATGGGGGTTTCACCACGTTGGCCAGGCTGGTCTGGAACTCCCGGTCTCAAGTAATCCTGGGGCCTCAGCCTCCCAAAGTGCGGGGATTACAGTGTGAGGCACCATTGCCCAGCCTCCTATCACCTTTTAAATCATTCCCAAGTTACTGGTTTTGCTTTAGCTCCTTACACTGTTACAGTCTCTAACTTTGAAAATTGTGAAAACTAATTACATCTAGAGGAAACCAAGCATTTGTCCAATGGCTTTTCAGAACATTTAATGTGAAGACAAAGTGAAGTTTAAGATCACCCTTTCTCTATTTGGCTTGTTGTGTGGTCCAATCATTAACATTTCAATGACCCACTGAAATACAAGCCCCACCCAAATCCTATCAGCCCTTGCAAAGTTGCCTTTAAAAAAACACTTAGTCTCTAGCCATTACCCTTTTCTATCCTTTTCCTCTCCTGTTCCATTAGCTGATTTTTGTCACTGCGTTGTCCTTTGTCATGACTAATCTATGCCATAGTTTTAAAAAATGCTGTTACGTTTAATAATTACTTTAAATAATTTAAGTCGATTTACTCTGAAATCTCTCCTCACCTCATTCATAAAGTATCTTTCAAGCATTAAAATGGGAAAAGAAGTTTCTTCCTATGAACCAGCACTTTATCATGTTGCATACAAATGCCACATCTCTTTCTCCATTCTCAATCCACGTAAAATGGAATCTAGGTTCGCTATGTGCAGTGGCGCAAATTTAGCTCACTGCAAACTAGGCCTCCTGGGTTCAAATGAATCTCCTGCCTCAGTCTCCTGAGTAACTGGGATTATAGGCACTGGCCACTATGTCCAGCTAATTTTTGTGTGTGTATTTTTAGTAGAGATGGGGTGTTACCATGTTAGCCAAGCTGATTTTGAGCTCCTGACCTCAAGTGATCTGCCTGCCTCGCCCTCCAAAGAGCTAGGATTACAGGCGGGAGCCACCTTGCCTGCCCAGGGTTCAATATGATTTCTTACTATAACAAATAACCCTGTTTTCGCCTACCCTCAGTATCTATGCAATAAAGAGCAAAATTTTAGAAGATGCATTATTATGATTTCATTTATTTCAAACTTCATATTATGTTTTAAAAGCCATAGGGTACATTTTAAATGAATTGAAAGATACTGTGAATGAGCTATTCAGGCATCTCTGTAGATTATTGGAAATGCACTGGAATACTATAGAAGCAAGGGTATAAATCTCTGCTGTACATATGTAGAATAACTGCTCAAATGATCTGTGTGCCTTCTACTTAATCCCTTATATTTAACTGCTAATTATGTAAAAAACCCTGACCGTATTAATTTGATCTAATACAACATCTGCAATGCTACAAAACAATGACTTTAATGTTTCTTGGAACTGGTCAGCTGCCATTTAAGTAATTAAATTCTATTGTTCATATTGCAGTTGCCCATATCAGGCCTGTATAAATCCCAAAGGGACTGGGTTGCTCTCCTTTAGAAAAGTAGCACCTACTGAGTCTCCGTGTGCTTTAATGAGGTATTTACAAGGAACCCTTTCCCCTCTCCCAGGCTTAAAGTACACACTTCTCACAAATAGAGAGAGTCCATTTCAATTGCTATCTGAATGTTTACCTTTAATATCTCTATAAGGATTAAAACAAACATTCCTGATTAAATGTTAACTTACTTTAGGCATTTACTGTAGGCATAGCAGACATCCCCATTATGGTTTGTATGTGAACAGTACTTAATGTGAAAATTACTTTTTAAAAAATTGACAAGGAGATGGAATAACTCATTTCAACATTTCTGCAGGTCTCACCTTTTGGAAAGCTTATTACTGAATCAGGGAATGTGAAATTATACGTTCAAAACTCTAAGCTGCCAAGAATACAGTGTTGCACTTTAGAATACTAAAAGATTTCACTTACTTTATAAAATATTGCATAATTTATAAAATGTAAATTAAAGTCCTGTTGGAAGTGGCATTGTGAAAGGATGCTATCAAGTAATTCTTAATAGATTTTCCACCATTCCACTGTATCACTGGGCACTTCAACAGTAATAAGTGTCAGCAGCAGCTGAATCCTTCCATTTTCAGTTAACTAATTTGTTTCTTGTATGTCTTTTAAACCTATGGCTTGTGGTATTTTGGCTTTATTTAGTTTGGCTATAGGTTCCTTAACTCAGGTGATGTGAAAGAGAGCAAGTTAACAAGCCCGGTTAGTCCCAAAGCCAGTCCTGCAGCTGAGTCTTTTGATTTTGTCCAATGTGATTTTTCCACCTCCCTGTCCCACTGCCAATAGCTATTTCAGGCCACCATCGTCCATCACACGGGTTACTGTAATTGTACACCATCTGGATTCTCTGTATCTAGTGTTTTCTTTCTCCATCTATTCTCCACAGTTAAATAAATCAAAAAGCAAATTTCATCATCTTGTTATTTATCTCTTAAAGTCCTCAAAGTAGCTCCTCTTCACTACAAGGTCCCAACTCCCCAATATTACTGTAGCAGATTGTAAAAATAATATCATAAAGAAAGAAATAGAAAATGATCATGCCTTCGATCTTGTATGCATGCCTCTTAGTCATTCTGCTGTTCTGCTCATCAAAAGGTAGACTCTATTTTTCCACCTCTTCAATCGTAGCAGAACATGTGAGATGCTTTGACCCAGCGAATGTAGTGAAATAATTAAAGTTCTGAGCTTAGTCATCAGGAAAGCTTCCGCTTTTGTTTTTGTTGCCTTGGAATGCTGCCCTGGGATCACAATTGGAGGCTTCTGGCCAACTAACTGAAGGACACGAGGCCTTCTGAAACAGATAAAAGCTTTCTCAGCTGAAGCTCCACAGACCCAACAGCCAGCACCAACTGCTGTGCTAAGTACCGTGTGCATAGTGCATATCTTATCATAATTTTAAAGGCAAGACAACCAAGGGAGGTTGCAAACAGCCACCCTGAGATCAGGCATCTAGTATTGGAGCCAGATTCTAAATCCAGACACACCCATGTCACCAACTCCTAACCACCATGCTACATAAATATTAACTTTAAATACATCCTATGTTGCAGACTGTTTCTCCCCCACTTAATTATGTCTAACTGTGTGACCTTTTTATTGATTCTTAACCTAATTGTATCAAAGTTTCCTCATGGCTTAAGACACATAATAGATCATACACCTATAGCGCTTACCGCAGTTCCCAGAATATGTTAAGTGCTGAATAATGATGGCTGCTATATTTATGCGGGTAGCAAATCTCTACCCTTTGGGTATGAATTTTATTTTTCCAAGCAGTCAAAAGTAATTTTGGTACTGAGAAAAGTGAGTAGAGTGGGTAATTCCAACTTTAATTTCATTTTGCTTCAATAATAAAATATACTGGTAAAATGAGGAAACAACGTATCTTGTCTGTGTTAGAACCTGGGTTTGAGGGCCATTCTCTGAAAGTTTCCTGCATCACCAGGAAAGTGCAACAAAATACCCACAAAGTGACACACTCACATGGATGTATAAGTTCTGGCATGCTTATGGAAATGTCAGTCTTCTTATGGCCAAATCTTACATAAGTTCATGTAAATATTTTTATAATATAACAAAATATGGATCATAACTGGTTTTAAATATTCAGTGTATTGATAAGTGCATAAGATGTGCTTGGGTTGGCTGGGTTCAGCTGTGGTACTGACAGTAGCCACGGAGTCAAAGATGAAGCAACTTGAAGATCAAAAGATTTTTACATCCTCAAACTCTAGTGTTTACCAGAGAACTTTTTTTTTTTTTAATTTTATTTTTCTATAGGTTACTGAAGCACAGGTGGTGTTTGGTTACCTGAGTAAGTTCTTCAGTGGCGATTTGTGAGATTTTATTGAACCCATCACCCAAGCAGCATACATTGTGCCCTATTTGTAGTCTTTTATCCCTCGCTCTCTCCCACCTTTCCCTCCAAGTTCCCAAAGTCTATTGTATCATCTTATGCCTTTGCATCCTCATAGCTTAGTTCCCACATATCAGTGAGAATTTCCAAGAAGGATAGATCTAACTTAGTTGTGATACAGTGGCCAGCTAAGTGCCTCTTCTCTTCTTTATTTTACATATCAGGGGAGAAATTATTCTATTCCTGAGAGACCTTTTGTTTCTTTACAGAATGAAGCCCAAAGTCCTCAACCTGGCATCCCAGTCCTTGGTGATTGATTTTCTTTCTGCTCTATGGATGCTTTCCCAACACATCTTGCCTTTCCTCAGTTCTGTGCTTTATTCACGTTTATCTGGGATGTGCATTTCACGTTCCCATTCTTCCCCACCATATTTAATCTTTCCTTACTTAAAAATTTCAAAATCTGTCAAATTATATGATATTTTCCCTAGGAAGTCTTCTCGATGCCTTTAGTAAAGACAATCTTTTCTCTTAATTTTTTTAATAAAATTCTGTTGTGAGAGAATCTCAGCTCAAAATATAACATGATTTTAATAGCATTTGGAATTAATAATAGTAGCTACATGATAGGCTTGTTGGAGAATGCTGTGAATCAGTGTGTGTGTCTTCCCCAAATTCATATGTTAAAATTATTTTTCATAAGTTTAGTTTACATACATTTAAACTTATTTATAAATTTACTTATGAGTAAGTATAAACATTTACAAGTTTATGAGTAATATGTTTCAGCACTGCATTATTATTCATAAGTTTCAACATATGAATTTGCAGGAGGCGCATAAATTTCTTTTTTCTTTCTTTTTTTCTTGTTTTTTTTTTAGACAGGGTCTCACTTTATCACCCAGGCTGGTGTTCAGTGGTGCAGTCTCAACTTACTGCAGCCTCCACCTCCTGGGCTCAAGCAGTCCTCCCACCTCAGCCCTGTAAGTAGCTAGGAACACAGGCGTGTACCACCACGCTGGGCTAATTTTTTGTATTTCTCATAGAGATGGGGTTTCACCATGTTTTCCAGGCTGGTCTCAAACTTCTGGGCTTAAGTGATCTGCCCACCTCAGCCTCCTAAAATGCTGGGATGACAGGCCTGAGCCACTGAGCTCAGCCTAGATAAGTAAGTTTCAAATACGTTGAAACTTATGAATAATAATGGAATAATAAGAAGCAGGGCCTGTGGGAGTTGATGAGACCATGAGAATGGAGCCCTGATGAATGGGATTAATCACCTTATTAAAAAAGCCTGAGGGAGCTTGTTCCTCGCTTCCACTATATGAGCACACATAGAAGGCACCATCTATGAAGCAGAGAGGAAAATCTCATCAGACGCTGAATCTGCTGGCAACTTGACCTTGATCATTCCTGCTTCCAGAACTGCGAGTAATATATTTCCGTCCTGTGCAAATTACTCATTGTAAGGTGTTTTACTATAGTAGCCTAAACAGACTAAGAAAGGGGATTAAATGAGTTATTCCATGTAAAGAATTTAGAATAGTGCCAGGTATATAATAAACAGTATATAAATGTTGGCTATTATTATTTTCAAGTGTTAAAAATAGTGTATAATTGAATTATAGGGATAGTTGCACAGTGTTGTAAGTAAAGCATGAGAATGATCTTGGGCTACCAGTATATTACATAGGTAAGCAGTGAAAGTGGAAAGAGAGTGGTATACAGAGTAGTCACACATTGGATTTTCATACGTATTAAATGGCCTGAAAAAGCTAGATCTAAGAAGACAACAAAATCATGAAGTATACATAACCAAGATTAAAATGGAGCTGCCAGAACTCAGTTGACCTTATAGGGTTGTCATTCAGGAATTAAAAAATAAATATTACATTGTAGGATGGGGAAAATTGTCTCACTTCCTAGGACTTTGTCTTATCCATAAATTGGATGAATTACCTAATTAATTGATTAAAATTTCTCTTCTCACAGTCAAACTCAATGCCAAAGTTAAATTTGTTAAAAACTGATGACCAAAAAACAAAGAGAAAAGATAAGGGGCAATCAGAGAGGCTAGAATTGCTGAGAAACTGAGACCTATTGAGAGAAGGAATTCTTCCGGGATTTTTATTCATACTGACACTAAGATCAAGCAGCTCTCCTCTTCAGAGCCACCAGAGGTAAACCCTCTGAATATTTAACTATGAGTTCTCTGCAGGCATATATGTATCATATGTGTATGAGTATGTAAATATATGGTTAATTCATCTACCACCTACTGGATTTTCCTGAGCAATAGTACTTTGTAATAAGCCTAAAATCTCAAAATTTGAGCAATTTCCCTGTCCTAGGATCTGTAATAACTTACATACTCTATAGGTAGGAGCTATGTTTTGTTATCAGTTGCAATCCCACAAGCATTAGCATACCTTACCCATAGTAGGCTTTCCATAATTATATGACAGGCATGATGGGACCATTTTATTTCTTGATCTAGTAAACTTTATACTCCTATGTGGTCTTTGAATTTCTCACAGAGATTGTCACAATGTCAAGCACATAATAGACAAGGCATTTGGTGGACTTAGTGAATTAATATCAATGTAGTCCAAGATAACAGTTTTTTTTTTTAGCCAGTAATGCAGCACTATTCCTTTTGTCGAATAGTCAACAAAATCAGCCATTTTATTTAAAAATGTATTAAATCAAGCTTTTCCTCATTCTACAAGTTAAAACTTAATGCAGGATTTTTATTAATCCATGCTTATTCACATCATACTAATTTGAACCCATTTGCCAGGCTGTCAAAAATTTTTCAAATCCTCTATGATGGCTTTTCCTTCCTACTTTGTCATCTGTAAATGTCATCTGCTCTTTTTCTGTACACTGGCCTAAAATATTAATCAAACATACAATAGTATAAACAATATGTGAATCCAGGATGCACATTTCCACAGCTCTTGCTCTAGGCTGACATAAGGAAGGCTGTAAAAAAATGTATACTCTCTTCGAAAAATAGTGCCATGGCATTTTCTGCTAATTATATCTGAAACTTGTTTTTCCTGTTCAAAGCCCACTACATCACTTTCCTGTCTTATCAATTTTGTACACAGCCTGAAGTTTGCAAATAAATAGCTTTAAATTTAAATTGTCCTTAGCAAATAAGTTTTCTGGAATATATATGTATCATGAAAACAAAAAAAGGGAGGGGGGTCTGGTGTGAAAATAAAGAGATAATATAATTTAATTGGATATAATTGAATGATATTAGTATATTGAATTTGTATGGCACTTGTAAATACAAATCATTTCTTAGAACATATCTGGAAGGTTCATGGGTACTTTATTCAGATTTATGAATTCCAGAGTCACCCCTTCTTTGTAGGTAGTAGGACATTTGTGTATTCATTGCTGGTTCTAAATCTTTGTTTTGCTATGCTTTTAAATGTTCATAAGTCTTTCTCTCTCGTGCAGAACCAGTTTGTTGATCTTTTGAAAAGTTTTACTTTCATCCGTTCAGGATGATAACAATAATAACAACTTTCATTTGTTTTGGATTTATTATATATCAGGTACTTTACAGTACTTTTCTTCATTTTATCTTCCAACAAGTCTATGAGGTAGGTACTAAAAATAAGAAAAGTAAGCAGCTTTCCCCAGAGTAAACACTCTGCAAATGACAAAGTTGGTCTTAAACTGTGACTTAGCTCAACCCAGGTTGCTTAGCTCTAGCAGGTCCTTACTAGAAATTTTCAGTATTCATGCATTTGTTTTCACATGCGATTTTTCCAGAGTTTTGGAAAATAGTATTCAATAAATAAGTCACCCCAATTATCACTTGACCCATAACTTGCTGAACCATGTTTTCTTTTTCAAGTATTACTATTCCAGACTAACTAGCAAGTCATTGTACGTTTCTTCTGACAAATGTTACTCCAATTATGTCTGCATCCTTGGTCAGTTACTGTGTAAAATAAACATTCAGTACAAACTGCATTTACTAATTTGTATTCTCAGTGCCACTACCCTTACCTTATCTTTTCCATGTTCTACCTGCCCCAGGCCGTGGATCAATCAAATTCATAGCAGGCTAAGTGATTATCAAAACTGAAAATCTGACCTGACCCTCCTCCTTGAAACTCCTCCACAGGTCCTCATTGACCTTAACATTTTAGGCTATGATTTTAACTACTTAGTAAATAATACAGAGAGGGCTCTTTGGGATTTGAGCCTTGTTTACCTTTTACTAGGACACCCATCATGCATGGCAAGCTGCAGGCAGGGTTAGTCTGCCACCCTCTACCTCAAACCATTCCTACTCTCACTCCACCTTTCCTGCCTGCCTAACATCAGAAATAGGTGTCCTGGAATTTGTTTGGAGCTCAGCAATGCTGCAAGAACTCAGGTTGTACTGTGGTGCTACTGAGATCCCTCCCTTCAGGGAAGTACTTAACAACCAACTAGGAGGCCTGCAGTCAGTAGACAGCCTGTAGCTGTGAGCTTCTGCAGTGTCAGCCTTGGCTGCAGGGAGCCGCTCTGTCCCTGGGCATCATACTCTTGGGGAAGCTGACCTCTGGTGACTGACCAAGGCTGATCCTACCGTTTAAAGGTGTGGCTCACAATAGGACCTTGTGATTGAAAATTCTTTGCTCCAGAGCCCACTGCATTTTGGTTGAGGATTTGTTGGGTCTGAATTAGTTTGTCTCCTTCCTCTGCCCAATCCTGCTCCCTCCAATTGTCTTTCACATATGTTCATCCCCAAACTTTGTCTTAGTTCTGCTTCTACAGAGTGAAATCTCAAACTTTTTCTGGCATCCTCAGACAATAGTTCATTCCTTTTCACTGGATGGCTGCAGCAGTCTCTAGTATCATGTTCTCATATGATATTCCACAACGACCACGAAGGAGACAGGGTGTAAGAGTTGTGAGGGCATCAACACAGCACTTTATTTTGTTTTATTATAGAAGAAAATATTTCCCAGAATGCCCCAGTAAAATTAGCTCGTCATTTCACAGATAAAAGCTGAGTGAATTATTTTTTAATCTCTATCGTGAGATGTTGACTCATTTTTTTTTTCTTTAGTTTTTTGGAGATGGAGATCTCACTATGTTCCCAAACTGGTCTTGTATTCCTGAGCTCAAGCAATTGTCCCAGTTATCTAGGACAAGTCTTCAAAGTTTTATGCTCATGAACTGCTAAAAAGAATGTTTAAATAATACAGTTCCTTGTGCATCCGTTTCACATCAAAACCTGTTTTGTTATAAATTTACATAGTTGTTAAAGTGTGATTTCCAACATTTGTAAATACTTTAAAAACGTTACATTATTCTTTAAGTGTATCCAGTGGAATCTGATTACAAGAGAAGTTGTTTTTGTTTGTTTGTTTGTTTGTTTGAGATGGAGTCTCGCCCTGTTGCCCAGGCTGGAGTGCAATGGCACAATTTCAGCTCACTGCAACCTCTGCCTCGTGGGTTCAAAGGATTCCCCTGCCTCAGCTTCCTGAATAGCTGGGATTACAGGTGCCTACCACCACATTTAGCTATTTTTTAAAATTTATTTTTAGTAGATACTGGTTTTCACCATGTTGGCCAGGCTGGTCTCGAACTCCTGACCTTGTGATCAGCCCACCTTGGCCTCCCCAAATGCGGAGATTACAGGTGTGAGCCACCATGCCCAGCCCAGAAGTTTTTATTTGATTTTAATTTTTTTTTTTTAAGAGTCTGTGTCTCACTTTGTAGCCCAGGGCTGAGTTCAATGACATGATCATGATCATGGCTCACTGCAGCCTCAACATCCTGGGCTCAAGCAAAGTAGCTAGGACTACAGGTACACCATCATGCCTAGCTAAGTTTTTTTTTTTTTTTTCTTTATTAGTTTTTTGGAGATGGAGATCTCACTATGTTCCCGAACTGGTCTTGTATTCCTGGGCTCAAGCAATCCTCCCACCTTGGTTTGTCAAAGTTCTGGGATTACAGGTGTGAGGCAATGGACCCAGCCAAGAAATTTTTTTTAGATATGTCTTTAAAAATGCTCATTATTATGGGAATTTTAAGGTATGCACAGAAATAGATTACTATAACAAACCTCCGTTTACCAGTTACCTAACTTGAAGTCAACATTCCGCCATTCTTGCTGCTTACCCAGCCAAGAAATTTTTTTTAGATATGTCTTTAAAAAATTATTTTAAAGTAAATTGCAGACATCATATTATTTCATTCACAAATATTTTTAAACGTATATCTGACAGAAAAACACAAAACTGTTATGTCACAATCAGCACAATTTATAATACTCCCTTAATAGTTTCTAATATTCAGTATGTGCCCATATTTTTCTGCTGTTTTTTTCTGTTGGCTTATTTGAATTAGGATCCATAAAAGGTCCACACATTGCATTTGACTGATTCCTTTGGAGTCTCTTTTCCTCTGTAGCATTTCTTTATTTATTTATTTTTTTAATTCTCCATGCCAGTTACTTGTGGAAGAAGTGGCATCTTTCCTTTTGGATAGGATGGTGTTGTCACAACTGTGTCTTCATGGTGGTGTTTAACATATTGTTCTTTCTCCTACATATCCCATAAACTGAAAGTTAGATGCAGTGAATTGATAGAATTAAGGATTATTTTGTTTTGTTTGCAAGAATACTTCATGGGTGATGCTTAGTATTTTCTATGGAATCACATCATGAGGCACATAATGTCACGTTGCCATATTATTAGTGATGTTAAGATTGATCAGTGGTTCAGGTGCTGTCAGCCTTATCCATCCATTTAGTATTCATCATCAGTCAGTTAAATAGTTTTAGCAGCTGCCTGTGATCAGATCCAATCTTCTACTAAGGTTACAAAATAGTGACTTTCTATCATTCTGCATTTATTATCCCTGGCTCCCTATAAAAAAACTTTACCTTATCAACTATTTGGTTACTTTGAAAAACAGCTCAGTAGGAAAGGCAAGATAAATACTTCATCTGTTCTCTTCATCAGTTTTCAGAATAATGAGTTGTTGCCCTGGCAACCTTCCATGGTTATAAATAATAATAATTATTATTTTTAGTCATTGTGAACTTCTAGACTTTATATGTGTTTCAATCTATTGTAGTCTTTTTGATGCTCATGTTTTTCCATTTTTGACCATGGTAATTCCTTTATGTTAGCTTTTGTCTCCTTTTGATGTGACCCTAGTAGTTTTTACTGTCATCTTTCTCTCAGGCATGGCAAGCCTCACCTTATAAATGCTCTGCTGCAGACCCAGAATTAACCATTTTTTCTAAGACACCAGTTTTTTGTTTTGTGTTTTTAGTCAAAACATAAATGGCATTTAGAAAAACCTAAACACACTGTAGGATTTGGATCTTCACTAAATTAAAGCTTTTTAAACTGTCAACAATCTTACATTGTTCTTTTTTCTTCTGCACTTTTGTTCTTATTTCAGTTCCTCAGGATTTTTACTCTTAACGAAATATGTTTGAAAGCATGTTATTGATCATCTTATCGTAACTCCCATGATGAAATTTATACGTTTAACTTTTTCCTTATCTTGTGTAATCATATGTGTCCAAGTCTTAAATGCTTTCGTAGCTTATATAAACTTCATAAAAGTTAATGAACTTTGTAAAAGTTAACCTCAAAGAAATGATTTCATAAGTTATTTTTCTCCTAAAGATCTAAATAAATGTTAAAAAAAAATACAAACACTTCTTATATAATTTATGTTTTTTTGGTTTTACTTAGTGATGTAGTGTTCATCTGTGAGAAGTAAAGATTGAACATTTTTCTTTTTTCTTAAAATGATGCAAAATATGTATCTGAGGTAGAGAAGGGTGATTTAAAGTACAGGTACTCCCCTAGACCTTTCTCACAGCAAAACGGTGACAAGGGAGCCTTTCATAACCAATTAAAATTATCCAGCGTGTTTCCTACAAGTCTAAAACAGATAGAAAAGGCACAGAGTCTTTCCTTTTGAGTCCTGCATCTATCTTGATGAAACAATGTACCATCATCTTTCTTAGCGACACTTTACTAGTTTTGCTTCCTGAAAACCCATGCATTCTTTGTCAGTAGTCAAGAGTGGAAGAAATGAAGACATAAAAATAGCTATAACTTTACTCCTTTGCCGCACCGTTTGATACATTTGAATTCAGAATGCTCTAACATTGACCAAGCTTCCCTGCTTCTGATGTCATATATCAACCTGCAGACTTAACATTGTCTCTTTGTTAGAATCAGGGATTCAGGTGTTTGAATCCTGGAACATTGTAAGATTTTGGACAGGTAAGTAGTAGGCCTTTCTTCTTAAAGCGAAATAAGAGAAATAATGAAAGGAATAGTGGAAAGGAGAAAGCCAACCATTTAGTTTAAGAATATAAGGAATCCGAAGATTGGAAAAATGATTCAGTTGAAACTATTTGTGCTTGCATACCTCTTTGGATAGATTTTGTGTACTCTCAGAGGTACAAGTACCTCATTTGGAAGACTGCTGCGCTAAAGCAATATCCAGTAGTGGCACTGAAATTTCCTAGATTAGACACATAAATAATTGTACTAATTCCTTACAGATTTTTTAGTTTTGTAGATCTGTATTATACATTTCTACCAGTAAACATCCCATTTCCTTGACTCATCAATACTTGTTATCATTCAACTTTTATTTGTTGCTAATCATACAGTTACAAATTGGTATCTTGAGGTAGTTTTAATTTGTATTTTCCTGATTAATTGTATTACTGTTATACTTTAAGGTTTCTCATTCTCTGAACCTTATTTGCGCATTCTCTCTCCATTTTTTGATTTTCTTTCCTTTGGGAAGTTGATTTTCTGAAGTTTATTGAATGTTCTTTATATGAATCTTTTCAAGATTTAAATGTCAGAACTATCTTCTCAAAGTGTATCACCTTTCAATTTTTTAAATAGTAACATATGGTGATCATACATACTTAATTTCCAGTGTAGTCAAAGCCAACAATTATTTTGATTTTCTTTATAGTTTGTGCTTTTAAGTCCTGTTTAAGCATTATGTACTCACTCCAAGGTAACAAATGTATTTCCTTATTGTATTAACATTACTCTTTTAGTTTCCACATGTTTGAAATTTACCTTTGTGTATAGTATATGATAGGGGGTTCAACCTTGTTGTTATCCATAAATGAATCTCTCTCTCTCAAATATCTTTTACATAATTATTCCTTTATAGATTTCTATTATTGTTTTATTATGTCTTTAGTTCCTGTATGATTATAGAACTCTTTATACATTATTCTATCTAATTTGGTCTGTTTGTTTATTTCTGTGGTAGTTTCATGTTGTTTTTATTATTAGAGTTTTATAATGTGTCTTAAAAACTGTCAGGTTTTCTTTGGTCTACTTTTTGAAAATTAACTTAGTAATCTGATTTTAATTTTTATATACAGTCTTGAATGAATTTGTTGAATTTCATTAAAACAATTCTACTGATTCTGCTGGTATTTTTATGGAGAAATATGTTCAACTTTGAAATTAGTTTATTGATAATACACACCTTTAAAATACAAGGTATCTAATTCATGAATAAGGTATCAACTTGTATTTAAATTTATGCTTATGACATATAATAGATTTTAAAATTTCTCTTTATGAATACTTTGTGAATTTTTGGTCAAGATAATTTTTAGATACTTTTTTTGGTAGTTATGATGAGTGGTTCTTATTTTCTGTCATATCTCTAAATTGGCATTACTGGTTTTGATGAAAGCCATTAGTATGTGCAAGTTGTTTTTACACATCAGGATTTCAGAAGTTTATTTTGAAATCTGTAAAAAATCTGTTGATTATCCTATGTAAATGATTGTACATTTGCAAATAGTTATCGGTTTGTGCTAATTTTTTTCAGTCCTCATCTCACTTTTTTTTTTTTCTTGTGCTTTTGTGTTTGCTAGAACTTCTAGTACTATATCCAACAGGGACTGAGTTAATGGGCATATTTATCTTTTTTCCAGATCTCTGAAAAATGCATACAGTGAATTTTCTTTGAGCAGAATATTTACTATAGATTTGGCATATACTCTTGATAAAGTTCTAGAAGTGCCTTAGTAGTCCCATATTTTAGACATTTTTGGTTTATTTGTTTAGTTTGCTTATATTCATAAGTATGTATTACATTTAATTTAAAGTCATTTTTCTACATTTACTGAGAAAAACCTATGACTCTTTTGTTCTCCTTTAGGCCACTAATAGGTTGCCTTATGTTGATAGATATTCTGATGTTAAACAACCATTTTTCTCTCATGATAAATATTGCTTGACAAATTTATTTTCTTAGTAAGCTCTTGGATTTGGTCACACAATTATTATTTAGGATTTGCTCATCTATGCTCGTAAGTGAAGTGGTTAATACTGCCTTTGCTTTTTTTTTAAGATACAGTCTCACTCTGTTGCCCAGGCTGGAGTGCAGTGGTGCAGTGGCATCATGACTTTGGCTCACTGCAACCTCCACCTCCCAGGTTCAAGCAATTCTCCTGCCTCAGCCTCCTGAGTAGCTGGGATTATAGGTGCATGCCACCACATCCAGCTAATTTTTTATTTTTTGTAGAGACAGGGTTTCACTATGTTGGTCAGGCCGGTCTCAAACTCCTGACCTCCTGATCCACCTGCCTTGGCCTCCCAAAGTGTTGCAATTTTAGGCATGAGCCACGACGCAGGCCTGATAACTCAATTTGCTAATTTTGTCTCAGGTTTGGCAATTGTTTCAATTACTATAGCTGTGTAACCAGTTACCCCAAAATAGGGGTGAAAAATAATTTTTTTTTCCCTCACAGATAGTGTGGGTCAAGAATTCAGATGGGATTATGATGGGATGGCTGGTCCCTGAGTGATGATGTTCCTTAGCAGGAAGAATTGAAGAACCGGGGCTGAAATTAGCCAGAGGCTCATTTATTCACATATCTGACTGTAGATACCAGCTTTCAGCTAAGGCCACTGCTCTTTTTCCTATAGGCCTCTCCATCTGGTTTTTCCATGTATTCTAACTAAATCAGCTAGTTTGGTTTCCAACATGATGCTGGCTTTCTCAGAGAGAAAGACACAGAATGGGAATTTCTTTTTTTGGGGGAGACAGAGTCTTGCTCTGTTGCCAGGCTGGAGTGTAGTGGGGCAGTCTCGGCTCACTGCAACCTCTGTCTCCTGGGTTCAAACGATTCTTCTGCCTCAGCCTCCCAAGTAGCTGGGACCACAGGCGCGTGCCACCACGCCTGGCTAATTTTTGTATTTTCAGTAGAGACGGGGTTTCACCATGTTTGCCAGAATGGTCTCGATCTCTTGACTTCGTGATCCGTCCACCTTGGCCTCTCAAAGTGCAGGGATTACAGGCCTGAGCCACAGCTTCCGGCCCTAGCATGGGAATTTCTGTGGCTGTCTATAGCCAAATTCTTCTATTCAGAGCAGGCATATACCTGCCCTGTTCAAATGAGTGAAAACAGACTTCACTTCTATGAAGGAGTGGCAAGATTCTGGAAGCACGTGTGGATGTTTATAGAAAGAATAAACAGCCACAGTAATTTATATATTTTTTCAGATAGTTCATCAGTGTTTTCACACGTATTAGTGAATTTAATGGTTGTGAATTTAGTGGTTGAGATATTTTTTTTTCTTAATTGCTGTGCTATTTCTGGCTATGTCTAAATTTTTATTTTGTATTTTGTGTAATTGAAAATACTGCCAGAGGATGGATGCAGTGGCTCATACGTGTTATCCCAGCACTTTGGGAGGCCAAAGCAGGTGGATCACTTGATGTCGGGAGTTTGAGACCAGCCTGGTCAACATGGTGAAACCCCATTTCTAGGAAAAAATGCAAAAATTAATTAAATGTTGTTGTACATGCCTGTAATCCCAGCTGCACAGGAGGCTGAAACACAAGAATCACTTGAACCCAGGAGGCGGAGGTTGCAGTGAGCTGAGATCATGTCACTGTACTTTAGCTGAGGTGACAGAGTGAGACCCTGTCTCAAAACAAACAAACAAACAAAAAAAAAAACTGTCTTTTCCCTTTCCTTACTCTTATTGGATATTTGTTTTCCTCACTCTTACTGGATATTTGTTTAGTCCTAAACAAATTAGCTTTAGCTTTTAGTCATATTCATAACTGTACTTTTGTTCAATGTTTCATGATTCCTGCCTACTTTATTAATAATAATGTCTTTATTTCAGTTTGGTCCATTCTTCTCTTTCCCATCAATCAAGTAGGATTCATGGCTCATTTTATTTCAATGTCTTTATTTATGTTTGCTGATCAATGTACTTAAAGCTATACATTTTCCTCTGATTTCTGCTTTAGTTGTGCCCTGCAAGATTTCATATGCAAAGATATTGTTGTCATTCAACTCTAATTGGCTTATAATTTCTCTTACGATTTCTGCTCAAGCCCAGGGGTAATTTAATATCAGGCTTTTTAGTTTCAGGACTAGGTAATATTTTTGCCTGTCTTTTAAATTATTGCTTTGTAACTTTATTGCAGTAGAGTTAGGGAACATATTCTGATGTTCATTCATTGGAATTGATTGAGAGTTTCTCCATATAATTATTACAAATTTAATTTTTGTTGAGTATCCCATGTGAGCTAAAAAATAATCTGGTTTTGTTATCTGCTGTTCACTCTAATGAGACTTTAGAAACTCTTAGCTGCAATCCATGATTCCCGGACCAATAAAAAAAGCATGTAGACATGGATCTGCCTTTTATGTGGGGAGGCAGAGGCAAAAGAACACAACTGAAAATGTTTCCCCAGCTAAATTGGGGAGTGGTAAAGGGTAGGAGGGAGCCAGGGAGAGAACATTTAAAGGGTGTGGACAGAGTTTAGGTAGGTGGTGATAGGGACTTTAAGTGATAGCAAAACAAAACAAGTAAAAAAGATAAAATATCTCACAAAAGAAAAATAAAGAATTGGAGACTACCTCAGGAGGGCAAGAAAGAAGTTAGAGGAGTTAAGGATGATTACACAGTTTAATTAATGGTGTAGGGCAAGAATTATGGTTAAGGAAATTAGGAATCCATGTTCAGATATGAGTCTGAGATGCGGTAATAAAAGCACAGGCAAATGTTCAGAAGGAGCCCAGAAAAGCAGAAGTGAAATCTCCCAGCATCCTTTCAACTGGGAAAGTTGCACTCTGCCTTCCACTGCTCTGCGAGAGCATCACAAGGCTCCCTGAGGGCCCCGACCTCTAGCCCTCATTTCCAAATGTAATGGTCTTCTCAGACAAGTATTTTTATGAAAATAAAGCCAAATAACATTGTGCTGACTTTGTCAGTCTGGCTTTTTATTTCACACTGAATTTCCTGGGAGGGGATAGCCCTCTTCAGGTTTCAAGGGCCAGTGCAATCTGGTTTTCTTTATATTCCCACTAGGGCACCACCAAGTTGCAATCTAATCAATTGGAGATAGTGGCTGATTAATTCTCTGTAGACTGAAATTTAATTCTTTCATCCTGAGTGCTAGTAGATGGCTAAATCAACGTTCTGGACCAGTTTTCTTTCTGCATTTTAAAACTTCCTTCGGGTCTCTTGAATGCTAAATCAAATCTCCCATCTCCTGAATTTTCAAAAAAAAAATGTTTAGGTCTCTCCATGTAGAAAATATAAAGATTAAAACAGATGTGCTGTGTATTCCTCTGCTTGGCATGTGGGGATCCTAAACTATTTCAGATGCAGGATCCTTATGCTTAAAAAGGCAGGAGAACTGCTTGAACCCAGGAAGCAGAGGTTTCAGTGAGCTGAGATAGAGCCATTGCACTCCAGTCTGGGCATCAAGAGAGAAACTCTGTCTCAAAAAAAAAAAACAAAACAAACAAATAAAAAAACAAACAAAAAAACCACCCCAGGGAGTGGAGTAGACGGCAGAGTCCCTCTCCTGCTCTGCCTTTGTGCTCCTCCCCTAGACTTGTCCCTCTGCTGTCCCTAGAACCTGTCTCTAGCAGGCCGCTTCCTCAGTGACAGCTTCAGGCATCCCAGCTGCATCTGTCCTTGGCTGTCATCTTCTGCCTGAAGCCTGCAAGATGCTTCAGTAACTCCAGTGAAAGGGCTTACATTCCTGAACTGGCAGTGGGGAGGGAGGTCTTTTTCTCTTCCCCTCTTCTTTCTTTCTTGTTTTGTTTGTGTTTTCGTTGTTGTTCAATTTACACATTCCTGAGCTGTCATGTTGGACCTCCCCCCCTCCAACAACGGTCAGACCCCCCTCTACAAGAGACAGTCAGAATAAACCAGAAACAAACAATGTACAGAAGAGAAATTTCAAAGAAATTCAGAGAAATGTGTTACTTCAAAGGCAGTAGCCAGGTCCCCCTGGAGCTCATTACTATAGTTGGTGAGATAAGGCAGGGAGGGAGCTGCTCAACGGGCTCCCAGGGGATGGAAAATTCAGGCGAAAAAAGCGCACAAGAAGTGCAGTTTAGCCGTTTTTAAAAACTATCAAGTCTGTATATCCGTCATAGATAAAGAAATAAGCCTTGCCCCTTCTGTGGTCCCCAAAAGCTGTTCACTTCACTGGATATCCCCCTGACACCCCCTAAAACCATGAGTTCTTGGGAGGAGAATGTGTTACCCAATCAGTATAGCTGTAGGGAAAAGAGAATAGCAGGGGTAGAGACCACATCTCACTGAATAACAGTGGTTCAGATAATGAGGTGGGAGAGGAGAGGGGCTACAGCACCCCCAGCCCCACACTGTACCTTAGGATGGAGAGCCACTGAATCAGCTATGGGAACCCCAGCTTTTACTTTTGGGGAGCTGGTTTTGTTTTAGCTGCAAAAGTTAACAACTGTAAGAATGTATCTTAGGTAAAATTGACCCGGAAGGGAACATCTATTCCAGTAATAATTGATCTTACACGTACTTTAGATTGCACATACCGTTACATTGAGGTGGTGTACCATCTCCAAACTTTATATTTTTCCCTACAAGTTTATCTTATTCATTATATTGTGAAATTTAAGGTTAAGGAAAAAGATTTTTGTATTTTATTTTTGTTTTGTTTGCTTTGTCATCTTCAAACTTCTCAAGGAGTTAAAGAAATACAAAATGTCAACTGAAATTGCTTTTCAACTTAGAATACTTTATTGCTACCTTTTTCAAATTAATTTTTAAAAAATATGAATGCAATAAAATGTGTCTTTTTGGGATAGAGTTCCATGTGTTTTGATAAATGCAGAGTAGTATAACATCATTACAATCAAAATACAGAATATTTTTGTCAACCCGCATGAACACATACACCACACACACGCACGCACGCACCCACCCACCCACCCACCCACCCCGCACACACACATGCTAGCCTTTTTAGTTAAGCCTTTACCCCTGACAATTACTAATTTGTTCCCTGTCCCTATAGTTTGTCTTTGCCAGAATGTTACATAAATGGAGTAATGCAATATTAGAGCTTCATTCTGGCTTATTCAATTAATTTAATGCATTTGATACCCATCCATGTTGTAGCATGTATCAGTACTTTGTTCATTTTTATTACCAAGTAATATCCCATTTTACAGATACACTACGATGTATTTATTCATCTCTCAGTGGACGACATCCAGAAGTCGATTTTTTAGCAGGAAAGGGGGCCCAATCGAGATCCCAGAGTGGGTTCTTGGTTCTCATGCCAGAGAGGATTCAGGGCAAATTTGTACTGCAAAGTGAAAGCAAGTTTATTAAGAAAGTAAAGAAATAAAAGAATGGCTACTCCATAGCCCTGAGGGCTGCTGGTTGCCCATTTTTATGGCGATTTCTTGATGATATGGTAACAAGGGATGGATTATTCAAGACTTCCCTTTTTAGACCAAAGAGGGTAACTTCCTGATGTTGCCATGGCATTGGTAAACTGTCATGGCTCTAGTTGGAGTGTAGCAGTGAGGCCAACCAGAGGTCACTCTCATGGCCATTGCGGTTTTGGTAGGTTTCGGCCAGGTCCTTCACTGCAACCTGTTTTATCAGCAAGGTCTTTATGATCTGTGTTTTGTGTTGACCCATCCCATCCTGTGACTTAGAATATCTTAACCATCTGAGAATGCAGCCCACTTGGTTTCAGTGTCATTTTACTCAGCTCCTATTTAAGATGGGCATGTGGCTGGGCACAGTGGCTCATGCCTATAATCCCAGCACTTTGGGATGCTGAGGTGGGCAGATCACCTGAGGTCAGCAGTTTGAGACCAGCCTGGCCAATGTGGTGAAACCCTGTCTCTACTAAAAATACAAATGAAAAATTAGTCGGGTGAGGTAGCATGTGCCTGTAATTCCAGCTACTTGGGAGGCTGAGGCAAGAGAATCCCTTGAACCCAAGAGGTGGTGGTTGCAGTGAGCCAAGATTGTACCACTGCACTCCAGCCTGAGAGTGACAGAGCAAGACTCGATCTCAAAAAAAAAACAAACAGAAAACTAGATGGAGTCGGTCTCATTCACATGTCTCTGACATTTCCTCCAGCCCTTTTATAAGAGAACTCTTAATGTTAACGGTTGCAGAGGGATGAAAATCCATCTTCTGTAACTTCTTCAGGCTGAATAGGGGTGATAATATTTCTGCCTATCAGTTATCTTGTGTTCATGGTAGAGAGGAGCTCAGTCAGAAAACATCAGTATGGCAAGGAGCATTCAGAACTCTTGAGTTTCAACAAGAGTTGATATCTGGAAGATTAATAAGTGTTTAGTTTAAGAAAACATTCAGTAAGCTTGTTCTGTATTCCTACGCAAAGAGCATAATACCAATATATTCACAAGAGTAAAGCAGTATAAGTAAAGTCATTCCAAGTAAATTAAGTTAGAAGGCTTTTCATGAACTAGGCAGCTGTTGGAACTAAGCTGATACGGGTTTGTTAGCTGATTGTAATATGCCCAGAATTAGAATACCGATTCAGATTTTTACATTACCTGTCCGTCTTTTTTCTTCTGAGCAATAGTAGAGATCACTGTTTGGTTTACAGGAATAAGCAAGGTTAGCCTAAACAAATGGAAAAAGCAGTGAGACTAGAATTTAATAACAAGTATACTGTAGTTCTTGAAATATTTCTCTCTCCACTTTCCCATTTTTACTACAGACAAATCATAATACGACTGATTTGCTTTATTATTCTTGGCCTAATAATTTGTGTAAAGTTTAGCAAGTATAATTATTTTCCACATAAGCTCTTTTTAAATTGACTTTCATGGAACTCTTTTTCATAGAAGAAATTTCAGATAAGACTTTTTTAAAGCCGAGCCCAGCCATGGGTTTTTACCCTCAAATACCTGTAAGTTGGGTAATTTTTTTCCTCTTGAGGTCCCAAGATAACTTGGAGCTCCTGGGCCTGTCAGAAAGTGACATTCTTTACTCACCACAGATCAGAAACCCTGTACTAGGACTGTGTAGTCAAGGTATGAGGCCAGTTCCCCAAGGGGCTTTTATTGTCTTTGTAAGTCAAGTCTAATTATTTAAAGGAAAACACACCATTCCAGTCAAACCCTTGACTGGAATAATAATCAGTTTTTCTAATTGTTTGCTGTTACAAAATAGATTTTTATTGTACTTACACAAATAACTCTAATAACTCTATTGCCATAAGTTAAGAAAACTCAAGTAGTTTCCACGTTCTGGAGAAATCAGGTAGACAGAAGCAAATATGCTCCAAATTTTGTTCACCGGAGTATACTTTACTCAGTTGCTGCAAGCTGTAAATAACTCACAAGAAAATTTTCCTTGATTTTGAAAAACAAAGAATCAGCAGCATTTTAAACAAAGCTAAAAAGATTACTTCTGTTTTCTATTGGTTCCGTTAATTCACTTCTGTTTTGATTGATATTCATGAACATTCCAGCTCTTCATGAGAGTTCTGAAAGTTGTTTCTTCTATTCTAATGTTACAATTTCCAAAGCTATTAGAAACTTGGATTTAAGTACACCTGTTAGAGTGCTATAGTTGATTATGAACCACCTTTTGAAGAGGTTTAAAACAGGACAACGATTGTCCTTGGATGACAGAGCATCTTAGGACAGCCATAGTCAAAAACACAATTGACAAAGAAATGTGGTTAACCATGTGGCATACAATGATTTTATGTAACAATTATAATTATCATAAACCTACAACTGACTCATTAGAATTATTGGAGTTTCCCATTATTTTAGAACACATACCAATAATATATTCATACAAATACAGCCTAAGGAAAACCAAACAACATTGCATATTTGATAGTGCTTTTTGTATGATTTTCATACCAGATAAGCCTAATGTCACTGTTGCATTTGTGCATTATTGATATCAAACCCAATTTTTAATAACACCTTAAAGACATATTTACCCAATTTCAATGTTTAACAATAAGGTAAGATTCTTATAAACCTTTTTTAACCCTTTACTATTATTATTGCAGAAGAGCAGGTCAGTGCTCTATGAAAAATCTGCTGTGCTTTTATTCCAATATGTAATTTATGGAAAACCTGAATAATAGCTTTTAACTTTAGTCAGTATGTTCACATGCAGAATCTCTTACAATTAATTTTTATAAACCTTTTACAACTGTTCAAACCTTTAGCTTTACTTCATCTAACTTATAACAATTATTTAACTCTTTAGGCAAAAAACCCACATTCCTGTGTCTTCTTATGGTATTTTACCAAAAGTACATTTTCGTTTCCTTACACACCTTACATGTAAAATTGTTTCCTCAGTAGTCTCAGTTACATATTACCAGGTTAACTTTTAGTGACTTTTACTTTTGGTGAAAACCTTGATTAATAAGCAATTTAAATTGTGTACTAGGTGTGGGGCCTAGCCTAGGACACACCAGGCAGAATGCAGATAAGAGCTTACACGCCAACATAGCTAAGGAGTGTGGCTAACTCCACAGGTGCCCTGGTTTTGCCTTTCCTTAAGCAGGCAAAATGTACAATAAGAGTTACAGTGTCATTTTATGAAGCATTTAGGATGCTTAACAACGTTTGAATTGGACAACATTTCTTGCATACATTCCCTTTCACCAATCTGTTCATGACTTACACAGACAATCTGAGACATTCTTAGACTTCCTTACTTGCCCTAAACATCCTTCCTTTTAAAAAACCGGTCATTTTACTTTAGGACAAGAATTTACCATACAAGATCCTTTGTTTATAAAATCTTTATTTATAATTTTCTTTGTATAGGTAGGGGGCGTGGCTAATTCCACATATCCCCAGGGCTTATCATGAATCTAAGGTCTTAAAGGTAGGTAAACTGAACAGTTTTGTAAAGCCGAAGAAACGGTTTGACCTTAAAGCATTTAGCAAATACAATACCTGACCTTAATTTAGACCAGATGTCTACATTTTCAGGACATTTTAGTTTACCACTAATCTTTAAAACGGTCTTTATTTTCCAAAGATTACTTAAAGTCATGTGAACAAAAAGGCATTAAAGTTTCTATTATTCTGGCAAACAAATTAAGCATTTACTTTTCTAAGTCAGTTAGAGCTCTTTTATATATAAACATACAACAACAAATAATGCACAGACAGAAAAGATTTAGCACTTCTAAGATTTTTTATTTGCCACTTTCTTAATCAGATTACTATCTTCAGGGTAGGGCACTTGGAGGAATGGGACCAGAAAGCATGTGTTTCTAGGGCCAAATAAGCAGCTGAAGGCAAAGACAGATCCCCAGAATTAAGAGCACCATTTTATACTGGATCCTGGATCTCCAAAAGGAGGAAAATACTGTAGGAGAAGACAGTGCAGTGCTTTTACTTCGCATTTAATTGCAAAGCAACCCAAAACCAATCAGCCCATTTTGTAAAATGCCCATCTCTCATCAGATTCTCAGCTCTCAGTGGGGGGCGGTGGTATTTTCTTTTCTTCAGGCGGCCAAGAGCATGATTCTCTGATCCAAGTGTGGAAAGAGACAAGTATCCCTTCATAATTACTATTAACCATCACTTAAAGTGTATTTCCTACCTAGTTATGACACACCAAAGTGCTCTCATAATGTGAAGTAATTTCTGATACTCCCAAAACTCAAAGCCATCAGATAACACAATGCAAAGCAACATAGAGCCTTTGACTTTGAGAGGGATCATTTGCTTTTAATTCCTGGCATTTAACGAGGAAAAAAGAGGTTTTGTTTGTTTTCTCAAAATGGGATCTGTGGCGCCTCCTGTGTTTTTCCTAGGGATTCCCACGCTACCAGAAGTTATTTTAGGGCCTCTCATGTGTGCGTTAAGAGTAGCAAGGCAAAAAAATATAAAAAAATAATTCAACTGGAAGAAAACCTTTTTCCAGAAAAACAAGTTTCAAGAAGAGTAAAACTGAAAGCCTTTTAAGTAGATCTATCGCTTGTTTATCCACTTTTAATTAGCTGACTTTTAACCATAGTGGTCTTTAAAATGTCCTTTTGCATCTCTTATTAGCCCAACTTGAACCATGCCAAATGGCCAATATTTCTAACTTCTGAACTTTGCCAAAGGTAATCTCCTAGGTACTTAGAGAAAGGTAAATTTAAGATGGTTCATGGAGAAGAGAATAGACAAGTTCACGTGGATATTAAATCAGAAACTAGATACTTTGTAAGTGGGGAATTGAACCTGGACAGCCACTGTGAAAGTGCAGAAATCTTAGTTACTGAGCTACAAGATGGGGCAGTCCCCACTTTCTTTCCTAGAAGAATCCTAGAGTAGTTAATTTTGAGCTTGCAAAGCCTTGTAACTATTTAATATGATGTTTAGAGCTAGCTGTGATATGAACCCTAAAATTCCTGTTCCCTGAAAGGCGGAGACTAAGAGAAAGTACTGCCACGTGGTTAAAAAGTCAAGCTTCCAAGGACATAAAACAACGTGGAGGCTTCATCCAGCTTTTTGGTTTTTTTAGAGACCTACAGCCAACTTTGTTACTGACCGATTTGCTGGGTCATCTTGAAAAGTGGGCTTGTGAGTATTCTAAGCCCATGTTTTATTCCACAGAAAAACAAAATCATACCACAAAATACAGCAGCTTAAGACTAGCCTTAAAATTCTTTTTCGTGTTAATCCAAATTTTACAGAGGAGATAAACAGATTTTTTTATTTTTATTTTATTTTTACCATTTATTCACCATTTGCACAGAGAGAGAGAAGCCAGGAATCTAACTGGTAAGAAATTTTTACCCTTTCGTTGGCATGCCAGACTTCTGGGTTCCCTTTCTTTGAGCGGCCCTAGTGATCCAGCTGTGGCACCATTACCCTGGGGGGTCAAGCCACATCATAAAGGAAAATTATTATTTTTTTCATTCTGGCTAGAGCAAAATACATGTGATAAAATGTAGACATTAGTCACTCTGCTTAGCCCCCAGTATCAAACTGGCAAGGCTTGAAATTGCCCTCAGATAGGCCCTGTCATCTTCAATATAGCCTCCAACTAGGAGTTTCATCATGTGGTCTCTGAGCTAGATGGTAGCTCTGAGTAACAGAAAAGACTGAAATAAAAAGGAAAGGAAAGAAGGAAAGGGAAAGTATTGCCTGTGTTAGGGTGGGGCAGATGGAGTGCTCAGGGATGTCAGATAAAGACCCACCCATTGCAGCAACATTGAAAAGTTCAGGCGGCTGCTTCTCAATAGCAAAGGGATCTTTTCTAGCAGTCTTGTTAGCTCTCATTTCCCTTTTTATGGAGGAAAAAGCTCCCCATGTCCCATGCTCTTGTACATTCCTAACCCTGTCACCCACAGCCATCAGCTGTGCCAGGCAGATTAATTAGCAGTAACCTGTTCTTAGTCCAGAGGGACTTTACTGAGTCCTAAATCTTAGAAGGGACCTTCCTGAGTCGGTCCTCTAACCCGAGGTCAGTCAAGCATCCTTGCCTTTTACTAAGAGGGACCTATAACCCACTCTGTCTTAGGAGAGACTCTATCTCCCCTAAGTTAGGCCTCTAACCCAATCCCATTTTTTACTCAGGTACCCCACGACATACCCATAGTCATTCATTCAGTGCTGCAGTCTCTTTCGGGTCAGTGGGGGTCTCCTCAGTATTGTCGCTTTGGTGGTTCACTAGAAAGATATTAACAGACCCCACTACTTACCCAAAGTTCGACTTTGGGTTGGAGGTTTCTGCCGTATATAGTTGCTCTTGTGGTCACCAGAAAGATGTTACAGGACCCCAACACTTACCCAAAGGTAGCTGTTGGGTCCTGCACTACAGTCTCTTCATGGTCACCAGAAATATTTTAGAGGAAACGGGTCTTGATCCAGACCCCAAGAAGAGGTTTCTTGGATCTTGTACAAGAAAGAATCCAGGGCAAGTTCACAGTACAAAGAGAAAGCAAGTTTATTAACTAAGTAAAGGAATAAAAACATGGCTACTTCATAGACAGGGCAGCCCAGAGGGCTGCTGGTTGTCCTGATTGATTGACTGACTGATTGAGATGGAGTTTCACTCTTGTTGCCCAGGCTGGAGTGTGGTTGCATGATCTTGGCTCACTGCAAACTCCGCCTCTCAGGTTTAAGTGATTCTCCTGTATCAGCCTCGCGAGTAGCTGGGATACAGGTGCCGTCCACCATGTCTGGCTAATTTTTTGTAATTTCAGTAGAGATGGGGTTTCTTCATATTGGCCAGGTTGGTCTTGAACTCCTGACCTCAGGTGATTCACATCTTCAGCCTCCCAAAGTGCTAGGATTACAGGCATAAGCCACTGCACCCAGCCTGGTTGTCCATTCCTGATAACAAGGGGTGGATTATTCACGCCTCCCTTTTTTAGGCCATATAGGGTAACTTCCTGACATTGCCATGGCATTTGTAAACTGTCATGGCTCTGGTGAGAGTGTAGCAGTGAGGACAACCCGAGGTCACTCTCATGGCCATTTTGGTTTTGGTGGGGTTTGGCCAGCTCCTTCATTGTAACATGTTTTATCAGCAAGATCTTCATGGTCTGTATTTTGTGCTGACCTCCTGTCTCATCCTGTGATTTAGAATGCTTTAATCATTTGGGAATGCAACACAGTAGGTTTCAGCCACGTTTTACCCAGCTCCTATTTAAGATGGAGTTGTTCCGATTCACATCCCTCAGACGTATTCAGTTGGGGCAGTTATAAATAAAGCTGCTGTATACATGAGAGTAAAGGTTTTGGTGTAAACATACGTTTTCATTTCATTTGGATACATATATTGGAGTGGGCCACATACATTTTGTTGAGTGAATGAATGAATGAATGGACTAGTATGCAGTGTTTTTAATTTTCCTCTATAAGCTGTTCTGTTTGTTTTCTCAGTATGCCACTAATGTAACAAGGGTATGCCAATGCGTATTTCACACTGAAATCTAGTTTCTAGGATCATTAACCTTGTATTTTCACTAAAACTTGACTTCAGATGTAAAAATGATGTGACAAGTGGTTCAATTTTTATTTACAGAACTCAAGGGCATTGAGTTCTTAATTCCTGTTGTGCTTTTTTTTGGGCTACGTGAGTCTGACCTCCCTGTGGTAAAAGGACAAGGAGCCTGGCTCAACTGCATCTCAGCCTCCAGGAGACAGTTTGACCCCTGAGTTTCTTCCTGGGTTAAGGCTGGCTAATTCTCTCCAATTGTAAGCACTGGTTACTTCTTATGCCCCCACCCTCACTACATTGAAAAGGCAAGAATAGATGATGAATGTTCTGCCTCTCTGTGTAAACGTAGAAAGAGGGATAATTTGGGTACATTACCCCCAAGAGTATCACTACTACTGTGTAAAGTGTCATCAGCTCTAAATCAGACACCAGTGTCTACAAATCCAGTTCCCTTATTAATCATGTATATGGGGTGGTAGCAAGCAAAGCTGGCTAAAATAATTGCTAATTTTTGTTCCTTTGAAATGCTAGTTTTTTCACCAAGCAGTCCCATAAAGATGTGCTTTAATGCTTTGTGAGTGCATCAAAAGACTTTTCATTGAATAGGGTTTACACCATGTTAATTTGAAGGAAGATATACATTGTGAATTAAATTTTACATCAGTCCCTTTTGCTGAGTAATCCAAATTCTTTTTATATCATGTTAAGACAGGGCAAACTTTAAAAATGTACCATCAAGATATACTCAGTGATAGTAGCCTTCATTTGTGTTCATCACAATTGTGATCAGGAAATCAGATAACATATGAGAAAGAGCTGTAATGTTAA